TTGGTGTTGAAAAGCTAGAAGAAATGGCCATGATTCTTCTTACCATATAGCAAATATACGAAATGAACTTACTTATTTTGATATTAGGCTAACTGAAGCTGAACTATGTGAAATAGTAAAAATTGTGACGATTGATGATTATGTTACGGGTGAGGAGGAACTAAGTGGAAACAATGATAATACATATGAAGAAAGCTCAAATTCATTATCTCAAACCACTATAATCTTAGAGGACATTGTTAATTTGCGGAATTCCGTTTTTCAAGACAGAAAAATCATATCATTTGAATCTCCTACTGACATTGCAGATTCTAATATTGAAGGCGATATTGATCTGGACTTTAGTCCTGAGGATCTTGTCAACACTGTTTTAAGTGTTGAATTATAAATTAAATAATTATTTAATGTAATAAACGCAATGTATATTATAATTTATTTGCATTCAAAGAAATTTAAAGTTTGAAGTGAATGCATCTAATATCACTCTTATTTTAAAAGGTGACCTGTTTTATTAGTAAAAATTTTAACGGTTCATTGATTAAAAGTCTAATTTAAAAATAGATGGCTTTGATACTTTTTTCATATCGAAAATTCACTATTACAATGTCTGATATCGTCAAATATTATGTTGCATGTCTGAAATAATGGCATAAGTTAAATGTTATGGCATAAATCACATGTTACAGTATAAGTTACATGTTACAGCATATATCTAATGTTATGACAAATGTCAGTTGTAACTTTTTGACATATCAGTTATATCTTGAGTTATGACCGTGGATGCTACAAGAAAGTTAAATTACCAATCAATTTTCTGCACCTATAATATACACTTTGTTTTTTTGTTTTTTTTTTAATATTAATAGTGAGGCCATGTCTCTAACTTTATTGAATATTTAATTAAGATTTTTATATAAAGTACTAATCTACTTTTAAAATATTATAGAAAGAATTTGAGTATTAGTGATAATATATAATAAGTTTGTTTGAAATTTAATATAATGTATATACTAAGATTGTATTTTAGAGCAAATAGTAGTAAAAGGAAGAGGTTGATGTAGGTGCAATGTAGGATTAGAAGGTAGGTTATTAGTTAAAGAATGAGCTGTTGATCTTGAAATACAATAAGGAATCCAAATTTCATAATAAACTTGTTGATTTAGGTGAAGTAAAAATTTAATAACAAGTGATGTAGTTAGGTTTGAGATAGAGATGATAAATTCATCTGGCACTAAGCCTGATAAAGTTGAAAAAACTGAGGTTGTATCTGGTATGCTATATATATTCATGCAATCTAGTTGTTTGATTTGGTAATATAGGTTGCTTATATTATCAGGAGTAGTATTAAGTGAAGTTGTATTAAAGATATATTGTAATAAGTCATCTATTAGATTGCATAATAGCTGGTCAGATGGGCAAGTTATCCAATAAAGGTGGAAGCTGGTATAATGGCATTGATGGCATATAGGTGGGTATAAAGGATAATGTTTGTGTAGAATATGTGGAGTAGAAAGTTCATCTAATAGAATTTTAATTCTGAAAGACTTGAGAGCAGAAGATTGAAAATTGTATGAAAAGTTTGAACTTTTTTGGTTATTATTAATATATAACCAGGTAGCTTGCCAATTGATTTGGTTAAAGATCTTGTTCTATTTTTGAAAACGATTTTGTGTTATTCATAATGCGTAAATGTGGGCATGGCATATTGTTTGAATACTACAGCGAGTAGGTAGCTCTAGAGAAAAGTTTTTAAGAGTTAAAGTATAAGCAGAATTGTAAATATTGTAAGGCATAAAGATAAGGTATAGCAAGTTGTAATGGTTGTGTGCGAGTTGATCAGCGAAGTTGTTATAGTTGTCATCTTGATAAGCAGTGACTTTGTGAAATATAATATGAATATTGTAGAACTTAATAAAGTTAATAAGTGTGTTTTATAGTGAAAAATATGGTGTGTGTGTATATGATAAAGTAGTAGAAGAATGTATAAGGCTTTGATATTTGGAAATTACTGATTAAGAGTCAGTATATATATTTATAGTGCAGTTTCTGGGGCAGTAATAATAGCTGATAGAATAGCAACTAGTTCAGACTTGAATAAGCAGGACCAAAGTTTTGTCTGAGCTTGAAATGTATATAGTATAGAGTTGTTAGAGATTTGAACCCATCCAATACCCATTGAGCATTGTGAAGTTCTAAGATCAATAACAGAACCATCAGTATAAAAGTGAAGTTTTGATAAGTTTGCATTATAATTAGCAATCTGTTGAAGATTGTCTGTAGACAGGCTAGATTCAAAGATTGTTGGAATGGAGTGTGTGATAATGTAGACATTAGGTAAGTTTGGAATTTGAATAGGATGTCTAATTGCAATTAAATATATAAGGTCTAGATGGTTAGCATTAAAGTTAAGAGTTTTGTTAGAAGTATTTACCTGACCAAAGAACTGGGTTGAAAGATTGATAGGAATAATAATTATACATTTGTTAGCAATAATCTGGGAGTTAAAAGAACAACCAGTACATGTATGAGATTGAATGGGTAGAAGAGGATAGAGACGAGTAAATTGTGATTCAATATGGCACTGCTAATGAGTGATGAGAATATTTTAAGATGATGAAGGTTGTCTTTTGACTTTATCAGCAATAATTTTATTATTAAGTACTGTGATAAGCCAAGGCTTTTTTTGTGAAGAAAAGTGTCTAGTTGTATAGCTATAATAGTTTGTATAAGGTAGATGCAGATGTTGGTGAAGTGTGCGATTAGAGGAGTGATTAGTTACTTGAATTTCTAAGTAAATAAACCAAAGAGGCTGTTTGCTTTTTGGAATTTTGTGTATGTGAGGAGAAATATGTTTCTAGTCTAGCAAATATGAATTGTCGTAAATAGTAAGTTGGTCAAGATACAAGATATAGTAATATCTTAGTTGTTTTTTAAAGATTGAGTATTTTGAAAATGAAGAGAGCAAAGACTCTAAAGATATAGAGCCCTCTTGAATAGTATATAGTATGTTGTATACTGGATTAGAAATGAAAGCTATTCCAAGATGTTTGAAGTGTTAGATAATTTTGAAGTTGGTTGAGTGTTTGTTAGGTCCATCAATCATAGGGTTGTCATGTACTAAAATACTAGGGTGACCAAAGGTTATTTTGAAGTTGTTGGAGTCGAATACGAGTACTAATACCAAGGAGGTCATCAGAGTTAAGTCTTTTAGTAAAGTTTGTAATATAATGTTGTAATTGAATGTCCCATATTTTACGAATATTGTATAGTTAAGGGTAAAGAAGTGTACTAGTAGGAATAGTATGACTAAGTTTAGCTTTGTTTTTAACCAGTTCAATATGATTAGTGAAGATTTTGTTGCATATATTTTGGCTAAGAATGATATTGTAGAGACGATATTTAATAGTGGAAATAATAACTGTATTAATAATATATCATGCATGTGTATCAGTAATTTGTTTAGTATTTGCAATTTTGACAAGGTGAGATGACTCAGCCATAATAAGCTTAATCTGTTTTGTTTTTTGTAATTAAGTGTAAACCAGCATCCAAAAAAACTTGAATAGTTGGTTTGAAGGATAGAGGTTAAGTGAGTAATTATTATAGATAATAGGATTGTAATTGCATGGAGGGTTGTTGATTGTAAGTATTGATTTAGAAGGATTGATCTGAATATTGGCCATGTTATAAAAAGATTCTGCTAATGAAAGAATTTGTGTGAGCTCTTGTTGAGATGATGTAATCCAGAGTGTATCATTCATGTAAGCAAGAACTGAGCAGTGTGAATCAAGCTTATCAAATATTTTGTGTTTGAGATTAATTGGCCATAAGACTTGTGAAGTATAACCTTTAAAGTTATTATGAATATATGAGATAAGTGGATTATAATAAATTCGCTACAAGAGAGGAGTGATGGTTTCACCCAAATCAATACCATTATGTACAGGGTATGATGAAATAAGGCCAAGGTTAGTGATTACTTGATTTTGTCAGTCAATAAACAGGTTAATAATAGTGTTAGTAATAGAGTTAGAGAGTGCAAGACATTGAAGAGATTGTTGAAGGAGAGCAAGGTTAACAGAATCATAGGCCTTACTCATATTTTAAGATAAGAGCCAAATTGATTTCTGATTACATAATGCATCCTCGACAAGGTTGTTGAGTATGTGAATGGGTATAGAAGTACTATTGTGAGGTAAAGCAACATAGTTGTATTGTGAGAGAATAGGATGTTGTGAGAATACAGTACTTATTCTGTTGGTGATAATTTTTGTATAGACTTTACGAATGTGTTTAATAAGGCTTATGGGCCAAGTAAGGTTGAGATCTCTTTTAAACATATTGCGCTTTGGAATAGAATATATTTTGCTATGTTTACACTGTTTGGAAATATAGCTAGAAGTAAAGCAGCGATTAAATAGAGCAGTTAAAGCTTTAGTATAGGTGGCACCTGCATGTTTAAGCACTTCATAACTAATGCCTGTTGGTCCACAGGCTTTTCTATTTAAGAGTTTTGCTATAGTTTGTAGAACTTCTTTCTCTGAGATAGGAAGAGTGAGAGAGTTATACCACTGAGTATTAATGTGTGTTTGGGGTTGATATTGTTCAGACCAAAAGTTATCAAATAGATTTTGGTTAGTTGGTTGATAGGCTGTCCAGTTGAGGAAGTGTGTTTGTATATGTTGTTTGATAAGATTAGGATCTGTGATTAGTTGATCAGAAAGTTTAATATAAGAAAAGTAAATAGGAGATTGGTAACAGTTTAGAATGCTATTAATAGCTTGTTTAGATTTAGAAGAAAGTGTTTCGCATCTTTTTTCAGTAGCTTGTTTGATTTGTTGCCAAAATAAGAGTGAATTTTCAATCTGATGGGCATTGTAAAGTTGTTTCCAAACATTCTGTGCATGTTGAATCCATGTGTTGGATTGGGAAAGTTGAGAAGAAGTGAGTGTTTGAAGATCGCAATGTGACCTTAGATTAATATTTTGAATTTTAGAATTGATTAAGTTGATGTTTGGGGTATTATTATTTTTGATGATTTTGATTAAGTGACCAAGCTCATTAAATGAAAGATAGAGTGTAGTGCAGTGAGGTGTATATTTGTAGTTATAACACCATTTTCTGATTATTTTGTTAGGTATAGCATATATAGCAATATTAATAATTGCATGCTCAATTTTGTGCCAGGTAGTGTCAATACTTTCATTGGTTTCAGTATTGAGAGGAGTATGGTATAAGTTGAGATTGTGAGTAAGAAGGTCAGAAAATTCCATCCACTCTTCAGATGACATACTCCTGAAGTTAAAAATTCTTCGGCTGATGCCAGTATGATGGAGTGGGGCTTTGCTGTATGCATTAGTAAATGTTCAAGAGGATGAAAGAATAGAG